ATTTTAGTCCACCATTCTTATACCGCTTGAGCCTCGTCTCTCGTGTTTTAGGCCGATTTCACGCTAGATTGTTCTTGTTTGTGATATTTCAGGTCCTAGTACGTGAAGGAAGGTTTGGGCACGAGTTCGGGGCCGATTGGTCGAAGTTGGGACGTTTGGCGAAAAGCTGAGGAAAACACACGGCCTAACCTAAATTCCACACGGTCGTGTGTAAGGGCCCTTTTTGGCCGTGTGGGATTTCCAGAGAGTTGACACGGGCAGGCAATATTTCTACACGGCCGTACAGTTCAGGGCGTTTAGCGTACTTTGAGTCACTTAATCAAATCGCCGCAGTTTGGGATTTCACACGGGCAGCTGGGAATTCCACACGGCCGTGTGGTCGTGGAATTCTGGGTTTTATCCCAATTTCGGGTCTTTGAAAAGAGGGACGATTTTCCAGAGCAAATCGTCCTAAAACAAATTTTCCAGAGCAGTCGTGGAATGACTGCTTTGTATTTTATTTTCCTCTCTCTCTCTCACTTGGGTATGAAGAACCCTAGTTCCATGTGTTAGGGATATTAATTGTAATGAATTTTGGATTGCTATACTGCTTGATTATAATCGACTGATCCATGATTCATTGAGTCAATTGAAGTATGATAAACTTTTCTTGATTTCTGGTGCAACCTGAGATAGATAGAATCTGATTAGGTTGTTAGAGCTACTTGAATCGGTAGTAGTGAATCAATTATACGAGAGTTAATCGATTCTCTGCTTTGTACTGGAATCCAATTCCAGTAGTGGAGTTCTCTGTTAATTGCCTCAGCGCTCTATCCCGGTGATGACTAGTCGTCTGCCGGGTAGTCTGTCTAAGAGAGCTTGGTCAGTTTAAGAGATTCTAAGATACTGTCGGATCTTCCGCAGTTTAATCAACAGTAAATCAACCAAAGGAAATTACAACTTTGACCTAATTAAGGAGCTAGGGGACTCATTCTCGAGTGACTCTTCCCTTGCTTAAGAACTTCGAACCATTTCCTGCTTTCCTACTGCTTTGTTTACAATCAGTCTCACTACACTTAGTCTCGCTAGATAACAGGTAGTCACGGAGTAGGAAGTAGATCTAGACCCCGGGTTGATAAATTGAACTTGCCACTATTCTGCATTTCCATTCTGCGATTTCACTTGGTCGCAGTTTGGTGTTGTGTTTTAGCGTGTCAAGTTTTTTGCGTTGTTGCCGGGGAACCTAAGTTATTGTAGAAACGTGAAAGTCTGTTACTCTAGTTTTTTCTTTACTGCATTCTCTCTCCCACCTTTGTGCCTTCACGGGTTGTGTTTGCATTCCATGTGCAGATAGTGCATGAACCGTAGCCGGTCGGGAGAACTACTGCCATTAGACCAAGAGCTTGAACGGACTTGTAGGAACTTCAAGCGAGCTTTAAAGGCGCGACTGGTTGCGAAGGAGTCTCTAGCAAAGCTGCATATCAACCAGGAGGAAGACATGGGTGAGCCTCAAAACAATGATGTGGTTGTCCCCGACGAGCACACCATGGGATACTACTGGACTGCCAGAGCCGTGGACATGAGGTCGCCCATCCAACACCCTCAAGTTCCAGCCAATAACTTTGAGGTGAGCTTTTCTGCCATCACCATGTTGCGTGTCTCAGTGGTATTCCGTGGAAAGGAGGGGGAGTGTCCCAGATCGCATCTGCGAAGATTCCACGAGCTCATCGATGGGATCAAGATAAATGGGATCTCAGCCGATGTCATCCATCTGAGATACTTCCCATTCACTCTAGAGGGGCAATCCAAGGAGTGGCTGGACACTCAGCCTCCAAGATCGATCTCCACGTTCGCCAACCTGGTGGACAAGTTCCTCACCCGCTATCATCCTCTGTCCAAAACGGCGGACCTACAGAAGCAGATCACCCACTTTGTCCAGGAGGAAGATGAAACCATTCGGAATGCTTGGGAAAGATACACCAGTCTTTTCCTGAAGTGTCCCAATCATGGGTTCAATGACGCCTTCAAGGTGGGCACCTTCTACCACGCCCTCTTCCCAGAAGACAAGCAGCTGATTTACTCAGTTTGCAGCAGGAACATGCTAACCAAGACGTCGCCGCTGCTGAATCGACTCTTTGAAGAGATGCAGAGCAGGGATATGATTGGGGAACTTCCAGGATATTAAGATGAGCACCAGGTTAGGGTGTGCATGTTGTAGCCACCCAGTCGACTGAGTTGGTACAGGTGGTTTCTAAGCTGGTCTCAGCTATTGATCGTTCTGGATTGGTTCAGGGACAGGACAGCAGCAGGCAATGCATTGCCAGTGATGCGAAAGCTCCCATCACACTATAGAAGACTATCAGGCGATGAGGGAGTCGACTACACCCCAGAAGTAGTTGGACTTCATCGGCAATTCCAGGAGTTTTGACCCCTATAGCAACACTTATAACGAGGGGTGGCACTAGCATCCCAACTTCTCCTGGAGTGGAACTATCCTAGGCCACCAGTCTCCCAGGGATCGCCAGGCTTTCAGATACCTCCTTGCCAGCCAAGACAAGGGCAATTCCAGCAACAACCTCTCTATCCGCCCAGACAAGGGCCAGTTCGTCCTTAGTCACAGATGAGGCCATTTCAGCAGTCAGGAGTAGCCCCCACAGTCCCAGTACAGAGCGATATGATGGCCGATTTGTGAGATCTGGTGGGTTCTCTGGCCACCTCCAATGCTAATAAGTTCAGCAACATCGAGCAGTTCACGGAGAAAGCCTCAGGTAAATTCTTGGAGCTTGAAGCTGGCCAGAGAAACACAAATTTCTTCCACTTTCCAATGTGGGTGACGCCAGTTAATGAAGGATTTAATGCACAAAAAAGGTTGTTCAATACTCACCCTACATTACCACTAATTTAGATGGACAGTTGTGGATGAGGGTGTCGAAAATCAGTCCACTTCATGGGGTAGTCAAGCTAACCAAACCCGAGTGGTCGGTTAGCATGCTAACCCCCTTGAGGGGTTGGAAAAATGACACCCTGGGGTATTAAATACAATTATAGAATTTAATACACACATTAAATACACATTAGGAATTAAATGTACCATATTAATTATTTGTTTGTTTTCAAATTAAAACCTACACTAAATACATTCTCTCCCTATATTTGATTTTTCCTCTTTCAGCAGCCTCCGACCGCCACACTTCTCCGGTGAAAATCTCATCGGCAGACTCCCTCCGACCACCTGCAAAAAATATACCACTACACTGGTAGCGATACCAGTGCACTGGTAGCGATATCAGTGCACTGTTACTAATGTCATATCTGAGTATCATTGCAGTGGTACAAATACCAGTACAGTGGTACAACATATCACTGCAATGGTATATTTCCGCAGGTGACCGGAGAGAGTCTGTCGGCGGGATTTTACCGGCGAATGTGGTGGTCGGAGGAAACTTGGTGGTCGGAGGCTGCTGGGAAAGGAAGAATCAGAGATAGGATGAGAAAGATCAAAGATGAGAGAGAGAATTGTATTTTGTATATGTTTAGTTTTTTTAAAAAACAAGTGATTAATGTGGTGCATTTAATGCTTACTTTGTATTTAATAATAGAACATTTATTATGTCTACCTTCATTAATACTTGTCAATGATTAACGAAAAAATTTACTAATTGAGAAGGGGGTGTCAAAAACCAACCCTTTAAGGGTAGGCATAGTATCCTACCCTATAGTTCACAATGTATCAAATGTATAAACACTATAATTTTAATTGGAATGCACAGGGCCAATGTCGGTTAGACCCATCAGGTGGCCACCTTTACTGGCTTTCCTCTTATTACTCTAATTTTTCTCTAGTAGGCATCTCTTAGGCTTAGACAACTGCTCTCCGACTTTAAGCTCAATTGGACTCCTGTTTGGTATGTGAAAAACTACAAAGTAGGGATGACAATGGGTCAGGCTGGGGGCGGATAGTGTCCAAAGTAGTTTGATTTTTACCCATACCCACATAAGAAACGGGTAGAAAATAAAAACCATGTCCATACCCGTTCGGGTTTCAGGTATACACGGTTATCCATGGACAATTATTTATGTTTGTAACTCCAACCAATATGTTAACATTCACACGTTTTCTCACGTTACATATGTTGAAAAGTACGACAATAATTCACTAGAATGAAGAAAATAAATTAAAGACTTTCAAAGAGGGAGGAATGTTGATGTGGCGGATTCTGGTTGGAATATGCATGGTTATTGACCAATACATTATTGATGGGATCCGCTCCCCCTGGACAATGAATACTTTACGACCTTCCCCGTGCCTTGTTAGTCATAGAGAAGTCAATTTCATTCTCCAACAGGGATTGTTTGGTTTTGGTGACAGTTAAATAGATGCATTGTCATCAATGCATGCATAATAATATCCATGTATATACGATAATTGGTGTATTGTAGTTTACATCGTTTGATTTTTGTGATAGTTATTGTGTTATTTAAATAAGTAATATTACTTTTTCGGTGAAATGACACTTTCACCCTTTGTTTTTAATATAAAAAAGCAACACACATAAAAAGGTAGGGGACATAGTTGAAAAAATAAACCACATCAATCTCAATCAAATAATCTCAACAATCTCACCAAAAACTTGAGATTTAACTATCACTCATTTTGAGTGATAGTTTGCATAAAACAAGCAAACAATGCATGTATTGTTTGTGCAAAAAATTCAAAAAAACGATACATTGTAACAATGCATGGATTGTAACTATCCCAACCAAACAATCACCAAAACCAAAATACGCCAGTGAAACATGTCTAAGCTAAGTAGAGTGACAAATAGAATGATTCTTGGTAGAAGTACAACTCTTATATGTTCACCTCTATTTTTTCGAAATTGGGTTGCTTAAGCTCTTTAGTCACATCTCTCTAGTAAAACTTACTAGTCCTGGCCATCCTCTTGCATATAACCCATTAGCTTCGATTGTGAAGGGGAGGTGCGTGATCGATTTGATACCTCCTAAGAGCCTATTATGGGTCACTAAGTCCAAATTTAGTTCTTAATGTTAACATGGTATTAGTGGTGATTGTTCTTAGTCTATTTCCTTCACGAATTAGCCTCACTACCCAGTTCTGAGCTATCATTGTTCGGATTGCATTCAGCATCGTCAAGTTGCACTTGGGCCTAATTATTAATTCATGCTTTGCTTGGTTTACAGCTCGAGCTTGATTGACTTGTACACGTACAATCTCTTCCTCACAAGAATCAAATCAGCTGAACAATTTTTTTTATCCCCAATGAGCGACTGACAAGTGGAGGATTACTCTCCCAATCCAATATTAGAGAAAGTAATTTAGATTTTAGTGACCCTTTCTGTGTTTCTTTTTCTGGTGTGAGTGGTGTCCCTTTGCGGGCTTCTTGCTCCCTTTCCTACGTGGAGATGTACTTTTCTTATGTGTCTTCTTGGGCACATTCTTCTTGCCACCGCTCTTAGGCGGCGGCGCACCACGGCTCACCACCGGGGAACGAGGTTTAGAAACTGGCGGACGAGGGCTCACAGCCGGCCGATGAGGATTTGGGACCGGCGGACGGCGAGGACTCGCAACTGGCGGCCGTGCACCACCTCCAACGGGGCTCTTGGGATTAAACACGCGACAGCTCTTCCTGACTTGGCCGCCCTTCCCCACAAGGCTCCCCATCTTCACCATCGCCGCCGCAAAGCTCTGCCGGAAACCCGATTCGTTCCTCGCGAGACTCGATACCATCTTGGACGTGGACGGGTCGGTGGCCAGCTCCTGATCAATCTGCATCACTCCCCTCTTCACAGTCAACTCCCTGTAGAATGACGCGTCGACAGCGAACGACGTGTTCTGGTCCAGAAACGCGGTCGGGTTGTTGCTGGCGGAGCAGGTCTTCCGGAGAGTCCCGGCCAGGGCAGGGTCCATGGCCGGGTCGGGTTTCCCGGACCCTTGGAAGTTAGAGATCCGGTCCTGGAAGAACGCGCAGTGGGCCACACCTACCGTGTGGGCCCCCAGGAGGGTGACCATCTCGCTGAGGGTGAAGCCCTTGGGCTCGAAGAACTGGATGAAGGCCAGGGAGACGGGCATCGTTGGGCCCGGGAGGTTGACGTCGTTGACGTCGGAGGTCAAGCTGTCGAGCCTTCCCGTCGGGAGAGGGTAGTTGGGGCCACCGGCGAGGGCGACGGCGTCTCGGGTGGCGAGCGCGATGACGTCGGCGCAAGAGACGCGTGAGGGACACGCGGCCTCGAGAGCCGTCTTGATTTGGTCGATGAGGTCGAACTCTCGGACCGTGAAGTTGGGGCCCGCTGCTTTCTCCGACTGCTTTTGGCTCGTCGAGTCGATTAGAATTGATGCATCACAACCCTGCGAATGGAAAACAAACAAGGAATATTTGTTAGAGAAATAACACATAATTATTGGGAAATGATCCATCATTGTTGAATTTACAACTCATAAGTGTTTATAAAACCAAAAAGGAAAATTCTTAGCCACTCAGAATAAAAGTTACGTTGGCATAAAAGCAGCGGCGGATCCAAAACACAGAAGTGAACTGGGCCGCATTTTATTAGAAAATTAGAATAGTAAAAAAATATAATGATTATAATTTTTTTACAATGTAAATTGTACACGACGGTATTTTAATTTAGCGAATGCATTAATAATGGAGTCCACATCCATACCAATAGTATACACTGTTTCAAATAAAATACTTGAGCAATCGACTAAAAATTAATCGCTCATTTTGTTGCGCAAATCAATTTTCACATGTTTCGTTGTTGAAAAGGTTCTATTCGCATTAGCTGTTGAAACGAGCAGCATCAACACTAGACAAATCAATCTACTAATCAATTTGCATTGTGTTTCCATCCCTATATTCACCAGCTGCTCTAGTAAATTTTCTAAGGTAACAAACCTCATATATGTTTTAGTCTTTTACGTTTTAAACTTTTTGAATTTTTAGGTTTCATTGTTTTTTTAGACGAATAACCTTTGGGGTTAGAATTTATAAGCTAAATTTAGAGTAGTGATTTTGAATATGTTCATCTGAATTATTTTTCTAATTATACCCAATCTTATTTTAAAATAACAACGACCCGAATATCTAAAATCGAAAAATTTATAAGGCCTATACTAACTATGGATCCAGAGGAGGGCTGGGCCAGGGCCCGGGGTGGCCACCCCTGGATCCCCCACATGATAAAATTACCAATACCTCAGAGATCGAGCTCCATGTATAGACAGTTCTCACTTCTCAGTCACTTTCTTACAAAAGTTATTTATCCGCGTAATGTTTTGTAGGCACGTATTCACTTCTATCCTCGTACATGATATTTTTCGTACACTCTCATCTATTGATTAATTATTTTCTTACACACTCCTATATATACATTTGGGTGATAGACAATAATTCGATTTATGATATGCTTACTTTGATGAAACAGTCGTGGAAGTGCATGCGAAGAAGGGCAGCGGTGACGGATTTATCGGTGTTGAATCTTTTCTGGACGAGTTGGCGGACGATGGTTTCGGCCTGCGGGCAAGTGGATTGGTAAAACCCGAGTTTGAGATCCGCTGAGACGGGCTGGGGGATGAAAACTGCGGCATTAATGAATACAAAGAAAACCACAAGCAAGGGTACTGGTGCTCGGGCAAGCATTTTGCTGACTATTTGTGACAAAATTACAGATGAAGAAGACGAGAGAGAGAGAGAGAGAAGGGATTCTGATTTGCTTGTGTCTGTGGTGTGGTAGGTAATAACTTCAGAGTACATGAGCTAGGCATATATAGATCGAGAAGAGAGGAAGGCACGTAGCTAAATAGGATGGGAGATTTGGTAGGTGCTTTATGCAAATAATTAAGAATTGACAGCTATATAATTATGCCTCTTGTCTAAGCACTAATCAGTGAGTGCCTGAGTGGGGATCAACGACTGTTATTAATCTATTTAAATCATGTATACTTGTGTTCTTGAATGGAAAGCTAGAGAGGCATATGCAAATCACTTCCCATCCAATATTGTTTTTAATTAAGAATTACGTACAATATGATATATGCCATGTGTTCGAATTTTTTACTGATTAATTAGAGAAATGAAATTTTCTTTTTTCAACCGAAAGATCTGTAGAGTTCTTGCCTAAAACCAATTAACGAGCAATCAAAATTATTTAGTGTGCATATCTATTGAGTTCTCGTAATATATTCAGGTTAGTTTAGTCAATTGACCAATCATCAGTTGGGTAATCAATTTCTTTTTTGGATGAATCGGATATTTCATCATAATCAGAACCTTGTCAAAGAGTCACACCAATCATGAACAACCCAATCCGACTCATTCTCCCATCTCATTCCCAACGATGAGTAGAAACTCTCCCAAGCAAATTATGGACTCCAACCCCTGCTAACACAGTTCACATTTATTCATCTTGTCCTTCGTCTGAATTCTTCCTCTCATAATCAGTTAGACCAGAAACCTATTACAAGGGATATATATTCATGCCCTTCCATATTAAATTTTATTTTCAGTTTATTAGAGCCACACTTTTGCATCCACGGACTCCAGAATTGCTCTGTTTTATCCTTCTTCCACGTGCCGAAGACAATACTATATTATGCATACAAATAACCCAGAATTGTAACTGGGAATGTCTTTCAATTTCAAATCCCTTCCGTACGCTAATTAACAATTAATTAATTTATAGATCTGTGATAGCCGCGGTGGGTAAGAATGAGTGGTTTTGATCAATGACATACAGGAAAGACAGCTAGAAAAGGTCAAACATAGATCGAGCACCGCATAACCTCCGTCGAAAACCATCAACAAGAAAACAACATTACTCTAAACTAGCTGGATGTCTAATCCAGTTGGCGTGGTCACGCTAGCTTCTTAATACGTGCTTCGGTGCTTTGTATCTTTGAGTATATGGATTTCAGTACCAACGTGGAGTTAGGAATTGGGATTGGATTTCAGAATACTAGATTAATGTTGAGACTAATACCATATCGAAACCAGTGAAAATTGAAAAAAACACAAGAGTTTAACTTGATATTTCTGTTGTCGGAAAAAAAAAACCTTGATATTTCTAATGGTTCATGACTAATCCATGTCAAGTGTCTAGGTTCATTATAATCGCGTAGTCAGCTATGAAATGGTTACGACGAGTTATATACAAATTTGTATATCTGTTTTCTAACGAGGAAATATTAGTGTTTGAATTCAATATAATGCACTGCACTTTTTACTTTGTTATAAGTGGCGAAGAGGTCATTTGGTATCAACCTTAGCTCCTTTGGACACATTTCTTCACGTAAGAAGTGAATAATATAAGCCCGAAGATAGGGGTTAAGACTCGCCCCTCTCCCTTCGCCGTTCGGTCGAACATATGTCTAAACCTATCGTTCGCTGCTACATATCGGGAAATCGTCGGAATCGAGAAAGCAAGAATACGATAACAGAAAGCACACGACAGGCGATTTACGTAGTTCACTAACACAATGTGTGTTAGCTAGTCAATGGGCAGGAGAGCCAATTTCACTATATCAAGGAGATTACAGATTACAGAGCAAATGAGAAGTATTTATAATTCTCCATGTGGGTCTAAACCTAATCCAATATGGTAAAGGAAACAGTTACAGACCAGGCCCAGAACCCAAACCCAAATAACAGCGAGACCCCCGACTATTCCAGTCGTAGTGGCTGATAGTCCGATTTAAGTCACATCAACAAATCTCCACTTTCACTTGAATCCTCTTCCTCTGAAATCTCTGATGTACTGTGCTCCTTCTCTCTCTCCTGCCATCAATTTCCCGTAGGGCATAGTCACCCACTCAAGACATTCAGTAAGTCCAAACAGTGTTGGAACTTGCTATGTTGAACCAGCTTCGTGAACATGTCAGCAGGATTATCCGCGGTGCCAACCTTCTTCACCTTAATCCTCTTCTCCGTTTGCAAGAAATGATACCACACGTCGATGTGCTTAGTCCTCTCATGGTGGACTTGATCCTTGGCCAAGCATATTGCACTCAAACTGTCACAATACACCAATCATGATATAGACCCAGATCACCAACCAGTCCCTTCAACCATATTTTCTCCTTAGCAGCTTCTATGAACGCCATATAATCTGCATCAGTAGTAGACAATGCCACTGTCGACTGCATAGTTTCCTTCCAACGCACTACAGAACTCCCAAGAGTGAATACCTAACCGGTCATCGATCTCCTCGTGTCAACATCTCCAGCATAGTCTGAGTCGGAATACCCAGACAACAAGCACTCTGTGTCACTTCCGAAGCTAATTCCCACATCAGATGTACCCTTAAGGTACCGGAAGATCCTCTTCACAGCCTGCCAATGCTCCTTCCCATGTTGTATAATGAACATGCTGACAACACTAACAGCATGTGCAAGATCAGGTCTAGTGCATACCATATAGTACATCAAGCTACCTACTGCACTAGCATATGGGACTCTCGACATGTACTCCTTCTCGACCTCTGACAGTGGTGCATAAGTTGAGGATGGATGAACATTTGAAGCACTATGAGTATTCAAGATCTTTGCTGAAGATATGCCAAACCTCGACAGTATCTTCTGGATGTAGCTCTTCTGTGACAAGAAAAGCTTCTTCTTTGACCTATCCCTGTAAATCTCCATACCCAAGATCTTTTGAGAAGCTCCCAAATCATTCATCTCAAACTCAGCAATAAGAAGCCCCTTTAACTTCTAGATATCAGGCTTCAACCTCGCAGCTATGAGCATATCATCCACATACAGAACAAGATAGATCATCAAACCATCCTCCACCTTGTTGTGATACACACAATAATCATATGCACTTTTGTTGTGTTAATATGACTTGAATTGGACTATCAGCCGCTACGACTGGAATAGTCGGGGGTCCCGCGGTGTATGGTGTTAATGTTATTTGGGTTCGGGTTCTGGGCCTAGTTTGTAACCATTTCTTTTGCCAGATTGGATTAGGTTTCGACCCACATGGAGAAGTATAAATACTTTTCATCTCCTCTATAATCTGTAATCTCCTCGATATAGCAAAACTGGCTCTCTCTCTCGCCCGTGGACTAGCTAACACACATCGTGTTAGTGAACCACGTACATCGTGTATCGTGTTTTCGATTCTCGCTTTCGTATTCTTGCTTTGTCGATTCTGGCGATTTCGCTATCCGTAGTAGCGCGTTTATAATATGTTGTAGCCCAGCTGAAGAATGTAACTTTCAAATCTCTTGTACCACTGCCTTAGAGATTGCTTAAGTCCATATAAGGACTTCTTCATCTTACAAACATAGTCTTCTTTTCTTGGAACCTGGAATCCTTTTGGTTGAGTCATGTAAATTTCTTCCTCCAACTCTCTATGTAGGAAAGCTGTCTTCACGTCTAGCTGCTCGAGCTCCAAGTCATAATGTGCCACTATTGCTAGTAGCACCTTGATCGAAGTATGTCTGACCACTGGTGAGAAAATCTCATTGTAGTCAACTCCTTCCCTCTTCGAGAAGCCTCGTGATTCCTTCCTTCGTTTTGTAGATCCACTTGTTTGTAACAATCTTCCTTCCCTGTGGTCGCTTGACTAGCTCTCAAGTCTGATTCTTGTCATGGGATTCCATCTCATCTCCAATTGTGGCAAGCCACTGATCATCTTCACCACACGAAACAGCTTCTCTATAGGACTGTGGTTCACCTGCATCCACTTCTTTAGCAACCTGAAATGAATACGTCACCATATCCTCAAAGCCATACCTCTCTGGAGGTATTCCTACATTCGCTCTCTTCGGTCTACCGGAAGCCATATACCGTGCACTGGACTCTAAAGTTTCCAGCTCTACATAAACATCCTCATCATGTTGATCTTCTCCACCTTGGTGCTCAAAATCACTCTCTTTGAGAGTTTGCATCTCCACCTGCTTATCAACATTCCTGCTACCTTCAATAACAGTAACCTTCAATAAGGGGTTAGCCATAAACTTCTGATCAAATATCACATTTCTACTTAGTATAACTCGATGCTCAAAAGGTGACCAGATTTGAAATCCCTTAACTCCATCTTCGTAATCCACAAACACACCCTTCTTTGTCCTTGGGTTCAGTTTACCCTCATCCACATGATAATAAACAGGACACCCAAAAAATTTCAGTGAAGAGTAATCAGCAGGCTTACCATAGCACACTTCATAATGAGTCTTGCACTTGATACTTGTGTGAGGTCCAAGGTTGATCAGGAAGCATACCATGTTTACTACTTCTGCCCTGAATCTTCTCTTTAGTTCAGAATTCGAGAGCATGCACCGTGCTCCCTTCAACAATGGCTGGATCATCCGTTCTACAACGTCATTCTGTTGGGGTGTATCTCTAACGGTTCGATGACGGTAAATCCCTTCATCCTTGCAGAATTCATTGAACTCAAAACTGTAGAACTCGAGACCATTGTCCGTTCACTACTTCTGGATCTTCTTCGTAGTCTGATTCTCCACCAATGTCTTTCACTTATTGAACTTCGTGAAAGCCTCACTTTTCTTCTTCATCATAAAAATCCAAGTAAATCTCGAATAACCATCAATAATAGACAGAAAAGGTACCACGTTTCACGCCTTTCAGTACCTTCCTCGAACCCTCGCAGACATATACAACTCCACCTTTTACTTTGAAACTGAAACCCTTGCTTTCGAGTAGACTCAAGGAGATTAGGTTCTTTGTCATTCATGAAACATGCCTGACATCATTCACGGTACAGAATAAACCAT